TTTCTGCAACAACAGCAGCATTTTTTTAGTTTATTATTATTATATTTTTATTGATAGACTATATGCCCAAACTAAAACCGCCAATGTAGTAAAACAGTCAATGTAGCGGAACTCCTTGCATGCTCTACTTATTTAGTATTTGATAAATTGCAGATAAATTGCAATTTATCAAAATAAATCTATCTGCAAAGTGCTGCAGATAAGCACCTCATTTTTCTTTATAATTTTTATAGTCTAACTAACTAATACAGAGTTGATGAAAAAAGTTATAAAATAATCTTTTAAAAAGAAGGGCAATATTCTAATAAAAAAACTATAAAAAAAAAAAAATTGCTAAAACCAAATATAATACTTTGTAATAAAAACCATTTTTCATTCAATTTCATTCATGAAATTATAAGAGAACAATTTATTTAAAAATTCTAATAAGAGCTAACACTTTATATATTTTATTTTCTGTTTAAAGTCTGTCTTTTGCAATGTCTAATCAATGTAGTGATATCATTGACAATGTTTCAGCAAAGTTTTTTAAGTCAGAACATGTAAAGAGTTTTGAAAAGTTATAAAAAAGGGAAAGCTTATATTCATAAGATATAATAACACTTATGTTATTTATCTCCAAAAGAATTTACTTTTGATACCAATAAACAACTTAGAACTGTTTAATATGTTCCAATAAACAACTTAAAAATTTGGTTTTTGATCAAAGCATGAGGGAAATATATATAAAGACTTACTAAGTGCATCTTTAATTCAAGAAATGATAAGATTTTTTTCTTGTGTTTTATCAAGATTTCTTTGAAATTGCCAACTTGGTTCAGGAAGAAAAAAACCTAGTCTACTATTTTTTTACTTTTTTTTAATTATTGGAAGAAATTTTTTTCTTCCAGTTAAATGTTTTTTCATATTTTAACTTAAAAAAAAATTTAATTGGAAGATTAAAAATCAAGAAAACTGGATTCACTGCTTGCCTGAATTTAGAATATAAAAACAAATTTAAATGTTTGAATGAACCATAGTTATAACATTTTATGACCATGAATGAAAAAATAATTATTGGTATTCTTTGCTACCAGAATAGCGTGCAAGGGCTTGCGACTATTTTTGTAATTAAACAATATTTGTTGTTGTTTTTGCTGAGAAATTGTAACTTTATTTTGCTATGCAATTTAAAGAAAATTAACATTAACTATAAAAACTCGCAATAGATATGAAACATGAAATTTATGAGCTCGTGTTTATTATTTTCAAACGTTTTCTATTTTTCTATTTTTAAACATTTCTTTTGATAGCGCAATTTAATACATGATGGTGTAAGGGTTCATCCATAAAGGATGTCAAGCTGAATTAAAATAATTATTAGAAGTAGAAGATCATTGGCTCTATTTAGTGGAGATTTTCATTGAACATAAATCGCTATATTATTTAGTGGAGATTTTCATTGAACATAAATCGCTATATTATTTTAAAAATTACCATTTAATGCCCACCAATGAAAAGTAATATATATTCAAAAGAATACCATTAATATGAAAGCATTGATAATATATTTATATCAAAAATAAATCAAATATATTATTCTTAGTAATAATTATTATACACTTATCTTTGGAAATCGAAGTTTAATGTCGTTGTGAAACTACAACTAATTTTGTAAAGATTTCATATTTATCTTCAATATGTGTTACAATCAGTATTTTTTTATATTTTTGGCGCTGTCCAATAATGCATGCAACGCTGCAGTGTAGTAGAAGAAGGAAGAATATAAAAAAAGGATCCCACACATTCCCGAATATATTTCGGGAGGGGATTGGGAAATATTTTGACAAATTCCTAATCTCGTCAAAACGCTGTATCAAATTTATTCCTGGTTAACACCCTGATAGATATATAGATATATGTATTTAAATTGTTTTTTTAAATTTAAAAAGTTTGCTAAACCACTTGATGTTCTTTAGGTGGAATGAACGCTGGGAATGAGTGGAGTGAATGCTGGCGATGAGTAGAATGATTGCTGGTGATGACTGGAATGAATGCTGGTAGTCAGGTTTCCCAAACTCTGTGGTAGCACTCAGAGAGGCTGATTCTATTAACAGCTGTAAAATATCAAACTACTAACAGCGCCATGTTGGGCATAGATGGTGTCCTTATTAGTAATTTTGGTGTGCATTGTCGAGGCCATATTTGGAGCCTTTGGTTATGGCTTCGAATTTACGACTAGTAATAAGGCAGTTGCTTGGACTATTAAATAGTGTACTAAGTACAATCTATGCTTTGAGTCAAGTTCTTTAACAAATTTAAAAATGACTAAAGTATTAAAAAATATAAATCACAAAAAATCATTGTTATCACCAAGTTCTCTAGACTTATCATTCATAAATATTTTTGGTCTTCGCAGTAACTTTTTTTCTTTTGAGTCTTATCTTTTGCAAATTTTACAAGACCTAATTACTTTTTGTGAAACTTTAAGTTTAATTGTCTCATCTTGTGATCTCAGTGTTGATGGTTATCTTCCTTTAAATTGTAAAGACTCCAATGCCACATGCTTGGCCTGGGCATTTACATTCGTAAGAATTTACCCATTTGTCAGGAAACAATTGAATCCACAGACAATTTTTTGTTTAACACAACTTTCTTTTTTCTCAAGACTGCACTCTTTTAAATGTTATTTCAGATTTAATTGACTATGCCCTCTCTCTTTATTTATAACCAATATCATTGTTATTGGTGACTTTATTGCTCATCACACTTAATGGCTTGGCTCTATTATCAGTGACTCTGCAGGCGTTAAGGCCAAAAACTTTTGTCTTCTCAATCTCTAACTCAAACAATCAACTTTCTAACTCGCTTTCCAGACAAAGTGAATCATTTATCTTCTCTACTCAAATTATATCTTGTTTCTGATCCTATTCAATACTCAGTTTCTCTACATTTATCAAACTTTATCAAAAGTTTAGAATGTCAAGAACAATAGCCTTAACCTCTTCACCTTTATCTAATGCACAATAAAACCTATCGGTTATTACTGTTAGCAAATCAGCTGTGGAACAAGAAGATCAAAATCAATATTGATAATCAGAAAGTAAGCTATTAGATTCAAGATAAGAGATTAAGTGTTTGTTAATTAAAGTTTCAAAAATTTTATGTTAGGAAGAATCTAATGGGACGGTAGTCGGACAAGTCAGATCGCTCTACAGAATTTTAAAAAAAAGGGATAACATGCCGCTTTCTAACAGACAGAAAAATGACTCTGATAAACACTTGTTACATAGTTTTGAAAGTATAGACAACAGCTCCAGAGAACACTTCTGCAAGACTATAACAGATATGTTGTATAAACCACAAGCTGTAGAAGTATCTAAGCAGGAAATGGCTTAAGCATGCAGAAGCTGGAGAAATACAAACGTCAAGCAATGGATCAACCTTTTTGTCAGCTTTATCAAGTAGAATGCAACTAGCGGAATCAAGAAATGATATTGATGAAAAGTTCTAAGCAAACAATTGTGACAAAGACTGAACCATACAAAAGAGGTGGAATTACAGATTTGCCATTATTATTGATACTGTTAAAGATTCTCCAGAAGTCACGAGAGTCTAATTTTTGTGATGAAATACGAGATTTCATGACCTGAGAATAGCAGGCTTTGGCGTTAGACAAAACATTTTTACAATGGTTCCTAGCAGTAATAAACAGATGTCTGTTTATTTGAGAATTATTTTGCTGATAGATATGAAATGGTTTCGATTGGCAATTGCAGCAGCACAATGTGAGGAAAACAATGGAGAAGAGTGAGGCTTGACCTGGAATCGTTGAGAGGGAATAAAGGATTCCATGCAAGCCTGAATCCACGAAGTTTTGTAAAAAGCACATTTGTCAACAGGAAGACAAAAGATTTCTACCCAACGAAGAAAATCACAGAAAGAGTCCCAGTCAGCTTTAAGGTAGTTGTAAGATGTACTAAGATAGGGGTATTCTGATGATAAAG